CCGCACGACCAAATATATTTATCACCTGTCTTTGCGCGTATTGAGTCTTTTTTGACGATTAAATTTTGGGGGATCGTTAGTATGGGGCATCGAAGCAATAAAAACGGATACATCGGCACGATGCCAAGGAATTCTGTCGGGCGGAGGCATGTTAGGCTGCCCTTCATTTGTGGTTCGCCGACAGCTCCCCAGATGGCGCTTGTTACTAAAAAAAGATAAAGACCCTCGATACTTCTTTTTAGAAGTAACGCCAACCAATGCAAATGACAAAGCACGTTCCGCTGGAACAAAACGTCGCCATTCAGTTCAGCCTTCTGCTGTGCGCCGCCATTCGCCTCCGACACCCTGCACCGTCACGCAGTCGGCCCTTCGAAGAATGTCGCTACTTGTAATAAGCTTTTATGTAGGAACCCTAAGATCCATTGTGCTGCACTACTGTACCTTGAGATATCGAGATTGTTCAGGCCACTTCGGCGACGGCAAGCGGACCGTATGGGTTATCACCGCAAGATATGCCTTTATATCAAGGCACGTGAAGACGAGTATACTTGCATAAATCTCAATTTACACCATTCTGCTCATATATTTTTTGTGCTGTAGAAGGTCAACCAAAACTCTCCATGCTGTTCGTCCTTTTAAGGAGACAAGGTGACGGCCTGCCATAAGCGGTCCAGCCCACCGAGTGCTCGCAGTCAGGTCTGAAAAAAGGTCTCCCCAGCGCCACATGCAGCCCACAAAGCCTGCCGCGAGCCACGCCCCGAAGTCTTGTCCAACGCTCGATGGATTAATGTTAACCCAGGCGGTAAACTTCTTTAAGACTGGCATCCAAAAGCTTGCGCCATGTCATCATAATTACCTAAATCTGCGCGGCGATTATGGAGGGATGTGACTGTGGTATGTATGCCCAAATATTGGGCGCATTAACTTTTTTTATCACTCTTACCCACTAAAATAATTTACACCCTTAATTAAGGGTGTTGATCAGCTTGTTTTAGGGCTGACACCCTAAGGGTGTTCCAGGAACGCCTATGAACGACTGGTGAACAACCCAAAAGGAAGATGCTTGCTACCATGAAAACTCTCTAAGGAAATTTATTGACGAGCAGCCTGTTCACGAGAAACAAGCTTTGCATGACGTTTTCACATCCACAGAACATGTCAATGCGGCGAAAACGTGAGGGAGAGGATAAGACGGGAGCGCTCGGGGACGTTAGAATCATGTCGTATTACACCTGAGACTGCGGTGGAAGAAATCGGAAGAACTTTCAGTAGAAGGAACAGACACAGAGAACGTCTCAGACACAGACGTTCTCTGTGTCTGTTCCTTCTACTGAAAGTTCTTCCGATTTCTTCCACCGCAGTCTCAGGTGTAATACGACATGATTAGCTACCACCAGCTCGCCAGCACTCTCATCGTCTTTTCACGTTAGAATGCCGATTTTTAATGCGAATGGTTAGAGGGTAGACTTAAAGCCAGCTGTCTTTGACCCCACTGCACTCGTCGAACGCGTTTGAAAGTAAAAGCGAAACTCCGGACGCCGGCGTTTCGTGTTGTAATGCGTTCGACGAGTGCAGTGGAGATAAAAGATAGCTAGTTTTAGGCTTACCCACTAATCGTTCCAACCAGAACTCGGTGTTCTGACGACCCCGCACGCTCTGCTTTCCTCCTTTCCCTCTCTTTCTCGGCGCACACGGACGCAGCAACTCACGCGCGAGAGAGAAATCACGACCCTGTTGACCGCCTTTAAATGCTATGCAAACTGGCGGCATGGTCGATGAGCAGTTCACCGCCCTGTCAAAAAAGCTGAGCTCCCTTTCTGTTTTTTCTGTTTGAACACGACAGCGAGCCGCGGCGAGCCGTGATTGTCGGAGAGGGGAAACGATGTGACTGGCCCACCGCCACCAATGGAGATGTGTTTGACCAAGTGCTCGGTGCGCTTCGCTGCATCCGGGAGTGGGGCGACGCCGCGACGCCCGACTCCGCGGAAGCTTAGCCTTGATTTCCACTCCACCCCGCTCGTGAACCTAAGTTTCGTCAACCAATCAATGTCGAGCCTCGCGGCCACCCTTTTATCCAGACTTGACGAGCTGCCGAACACCTAGCCAAAAAACGTTTCGTGTTAAAATGAACATACGATTCCTGTCAGAACCGTGTTGAACGTCACCGGAAACCACGAAATCAGTCAATTTGATAAATATTTCAGGCGCGTGGGAAGCGTGGTGGTGCGCTAAGGTCAACAGTCGTGTAACGCTCGCGAGGCTGGCGATGCAAAAAGGCAAACGATAACGTTATCACCTGGGTTTTTGTTTGCAACTCACCTGCCTAACCCGCAATCTAATATAGCTTTCACCGCATTTTTTTAACAATCCGTAAGTTTTAAGAACACCCTTTAGAGTTGTCATATAACATGTTAATTTGGGCCCTGCCCTCAGTGAAGAGTATCGTGAAGATTTCCTCGCCATCTACCAAAAGTTTCACTCGCTTAAGTCGAATGGTTTGAAGGTCGCAAACTGCATTGTACAACTACGAGGTACCATAAGCGATTGCGAGTAACGTGTTGGGACCCAAGCGACCCAATCAATCTTCACTCCAGGTCTATGCTCCATTTCAACCGAAGCCCAAACTTAGCCAACACTGTACTACACGATAGAGGTAATCAAGCTGCGCCAAAAATCGTCACTGCGCTCGTTTTTTTCTTCTTTTTTCGGGGGGGTTATGACCGTGTAGACCATACCACTCACATAAGACAGCGCAAACCCCGGCGACTTCACTGTGCGCGATTGGTTTAGACAGGGATCTAACACGTAAACGGAGGATGGGTACCGTGATGATGCGCTTTTGGTGGTGCTTGTATACCGTTAACTGCTGTCGGACTTGAAGTGAAATAGAGCACGGCTGGGGATGCGAAAATTGTGAGGGGCAAATCGCTGTTTACTGAGGGGGTAACGAATTACTCTCAGAGGGGTTCAAGAGGGAGTAAAACGCAGAAGGAAGTATAGGTGCCGCGATTGACTCGTTAGGAGTCCGCTCACGGTGACAAGCGGGTTACTTCCCTAAAAAACCAAAATTTACTTCCTTTTTTTTTTTTCTTTTTTTAAGTGTGTCGTGATGACGCATCACGATCCTTTCCGGATTGTACCATTGACATACTCGAGCGGATAGAAAAAATACTTGCATTCATAGACGGTGCTTATTGTGTCTAGAGATTTGCATCCTGTCTAGTTTAGTTTTAAACAAATATGTGCAGTGCGTCATTCAACATCCCTTCAGTGTAGCGATTTGCATTGTGAATTTTTCGTTGTTGCTTACTTTGGGTTCATACCTCTGCTAACAATTTAATGTGGTTGTTTTCAAGTCGTAACTTTATGTGGCCTTCCATCGAAGAACTACTTATCAACTGCAGAAAAATGAAAGAGGAAACTGAATATTTGCAAATGTGCGCATCAGCGCAAGTTAATCATGACAAGAGCACTTCTGTTAGCATATAAAAAGAGTTCCCGCTAACGTGCTGCAGATGTGTCGAGTATATTTCCGTAAACAAATGAAGATATTTTCACAGCCGCTTCATATGAATTAAAGCAAACTATTACACGACCTCTAAATTATTTCATTTTTAGTTTGTATTGTTTCTAATCTCTAAAGAAAACTTTATTCCGGCGCAAATCATAATGAGTACCGGAAGACGGTAAAAATATAAGAAATATAAATGATAAAACGGAAGTAACAGAAGAGCCTGCAGCCGAAAGCCAATCTTTCCGCCCAGCATCGTTGCTCATTACACAAAGATCGGCTGAGCGCTGTTACATAAAACGCACGTTCCAGAAACATTCCGGTAGTCCATCACTAACGATTCTTTAATATTCGCAATTTGAGCTTCGAAGTCAGTTGAGGTTGGTTGCCTTTGAGACTTTCGCACAGAATAGTCAACCAGTACCTTTGTTATTTTTACCCATTTTCACTCTCTTTTCTCTTCACTCTCTTTTCACTTTATTGCGGAGAGCAAGTCGTCTGCTTCTAGCGCTGGAGTTGCGGTGACGTAAGAACGACGCCGAGCTCTGATTGGTTCTGAATGAAGGATAGTGGGTAGACTTTAATGCTAGACGCCTTGTGGTCTACCCACTATTCTTTTTTAATCGGGCAATAAAAGCTCGGCATTCGGACAGCATCGCAACGCCTGTGCAAGAAGCAGACGAATTTGCGGTCTGAGTAGATGCCCGTATATAAACCAATTTACAGAAATGGTCGCACTGTTAGAGTGGCGTTGGCTACTTGGTGCTTTTCTCATATGCCCATGAATCAACATGGGCGGTTGACACTTTTGGGGCACAAAGCGTGCAATTGAATCCGAATCCTCGTCGGAGGCATCACTTGTGTTCAATACGCACATGCCCACAGAGTACGGGATCAAACAGTGGCAGACCCGAATAATCGGCACACCAGCTACTATGTGTCGCGCGCTTTCGAAAACAAGCGATCCGCTGTTGCATAGGGAGTATTCACTGGACGCCATATTTGTGCGTGCTGTTTAGAGCGCATGCTCAAAACGAGCTCACATCAATAGGCTGCTAAGACCGGCACTCTTGATGGTGCGGAACGCACGTTGCAAAAGAACTGTGGAAACTCGCCATCAGCACGCGCTCAGCATTCGCGCACACAGCTATGGCCGCCAGTGAATACTTCCTATTGACGCTTTGCAGCAGCTGTGCATGGGCACCGCCATAACTGACCTCCAGTTTTTGTTTCCCCTTATTACGTTTACTTCACCTCAGTATTACCATAGCAGGCCAGGTTATTGCCATTTTAGATTTTATTCAGTCTTTCTCCACCGCATTGGCTTTTGTGGAGGCTCGTCCACACCAATTTCAGTGGCTCGGTATCTCGGTAAAACAAGAGAAGGTCAGCAATGGCGGCTATATTCTGGCTCGTGTGTAAAGCGTCTATACTGTCTGCACTGAACCCCAACATAGTTTTCAGCGAAGTAATTACAAATAGACAACGATGAAAGAATGAAGCGCACGTGCGCTCGTGTGACCTTTAATGAAACGGATATCGCGGGGCATCGTCACATGCGTGCAACAAGAAAGCAACGAGGAAAAAACGCGGCAAGTGAACAACATCGTGGGGTAGGGGAGTAATGCCAGGGAACATTGGGGAACACAACAAATAAAAGTTCCCCCCGCGGGAGTCGGTGGCCCTACGTCCAGACCGGCTCGTTCTGCCAGTTGTCCAAGCTCACTCTCGGGATGTCTTCGCCATTGCAATCCACCTTCGGGTTCCTGCGCGATTGAAGAACAAAACGCGCGTTAGGAAACGCGAGCAGTCGCAAAAGCAATACAGTAAAATTAGCCAGGTTGTACCACTGGAATTTCGGGGCTCCTCTTCAAAACACTTTCACGACACCTTTCGTGGACACATTTTCCAATTTTCCCAATGATTCCCAAGTTGTTTTTACTTTTTGCTCCAATCAAATTAGGGACAGGATCAATCTCGTTGCTGCAATAACCTCCTTTTTTTTCTTTTTGCGATCCGGTTCATCTCGACCTTCACCGAGTTTCATCCGTAGCTTGGGGCGATTTGTTCCCCCTATGTGGTTTGTGGGAAACTAGTTGCTCCAGATTTGTTAAAGCGTTAAACTGCCTGACCAGCCTATAGAAATAGCGATCGTAGGTCTTCGTGCCCCGTACAATTTTACGTACCTTGAATTACGATGCTAAATTATCGAACCAAAAGAGCTAAGATTTTATCAGAAAACTAATTCGAAACGCTCAGATTTTGATACAGTTTTGTTTCGTCACTCGACGAAGCCTGTGACGTAACAAGACACTACGATCACTAAGCGTGACGTCACGCCTTTTTCGGTTCGAGCCGCTCTGTCGAAACATCTAAGTTATGTGTTGGAAAAACTGGTAAATGTCTCAACGATCGGCTGCGAAAACATCATAACAGCACGAGCGGGACTGTCTCTGGCCATCTAGGGATTCAGTGATGAGACTGTCGTTGCGATACCCAGTTCACAAAATGCACTGCGTTGGCGCAGTGTGGCGATTCTCTACTTGGAGAAACTATTGAGGCAGAGAAGATCGCGTGGCCCGATTACAAATGTATCAATGTAAATGTATTTTTTTTTTCTTTTTTCCACAAAAGAATTACGCTTTTTGGTGAAGTAGACAAACTGATGAGCGCAAATTTACAGGGCGTTTTTTTCTTTGCTTTATTTGCGTTGTATTATGTTCCTACTCCTTACGAATAAGTACAAGAAACGTGTAAGTAAGCCCTGTGTTTATTCTCCTATGCGTCCTCTCGTTTTGCCCCCGTTTGTAAGGCGACGCGACTCTGCGCCCGACCAACACCTCCTAGATGGGACCGACGCGATGATAACAGGCGGGGTGGCGGGACGAGGGTGAAAGAAGGAGAGCCCTTAGGAGACGACATCCTGATCCTGATGTTACGTCACGGATCGTTTCAAGCGACTTATAACACGGGAATCTCCATATGCATTTTATGCGCTTCATCCTTCACATCGCGAGCTGAAATTTCGTGGACACTTCCATGGGAAAATCCTGGTAATATATGCCACTTTTTTTTTTTTAATGAAACTATTTTTAGGTTGGAAGGCCCTATAAATAGGGGAAATGCACAGGCAGGACGGAAGGACGAACGGAAGCGCGGGCGGACAAAATTTTGTTGTTGGGGGTAGCGTTAAAAAGTATTTTATGCTTTAAAAAAAGCTATCGGGACATTGACCGTTTTCGAGTGTCCTCGAACATTCTTAGATAACGCCATTTCCTGGTCTTGCCCGTATCAGGCGGCTTCGTGATGAGAGGTCCTTCGGCCATTGAAATGCACGCGGAAGACCGATAAAAGCTTATCGGCCAAACTCACCACTGCGCTTCTCTGATCATGACCAGAGGCTGAACGTAGTTCAGGTTGGAGTTGTCGCAGATAACCCGCGCCAGGCTGGCCTTTCGAATTTCCTCGATTTGAACTGTAAAGACAAAAACAAACGGCAACACTGATGAACCCAAATAACGGTGTTTTGGAAGGTGGTGTCGTTCATACACTCCAAAAGAAATTTAATAAGCACGTTGTGTTTCCGGCAATGTGTGACGCGACCGTCCCGCGAATCATTTTTTGTATACGCTGTGTACTCTGCGCGTTTAAAGTCGCTGGATGGCGTGTTGTGCTCGCAAACACCACAAAACGGTAAGCCAGAACTGGGGAACGTCAGTGATGGTGTTGATGATCAGAGTTATGTCGAGTGGCCTGGTACATGCGTTAAAGACTTCCAGGTGATACATACAGAGTGTTAAATTTAATTCGAACCTATTTTATTTTTAAAAAAAATCGTAAGAGGTATACTGAAGCGGTTTGCGTATGTGAGTTATACGACTAGGGGGACATTATATAGGCGGCTAATCTTCACAATAAATCGGATAGATCACTCAAATGAAAATACACATATGGTTTCAATTAGAAACTTGTTGAGCGTCATCGAAAATCACTAAATCAGTCCATGCTATCTCCTTGCGCTCTCTCCGACTGTTGTTTGGCACCATCAGTTTGTAGCGTCGGCCGCGCTCAGACTTGCAGTGAAGTCAAGCATATCACTAGGCTCGGCAAGCTTATATAGCCTCGTTCAAAATGTCAGGGTGGTGCGCCTAACTTTTTTCGATTCCCCTTTCATTTCCCGTACTGTGTTACTGTGTAACTCCCATTTACGTAGCTATATATTTCTAGTCCGTTATATTACGAACGGCATTTTAGCAGCAGGTGCAGAAGTGACTGACCTTCGTTGAAGGACGACTCGAGCCCTCCGTTCTCGTACCAGAAGCGGTCGCCGTTCTTCATCCGTCGGAACTGCTCGGCCACGAGACAGGCGAAGGTGGGTCCTAGCGTGCCGCCGGGCACCGATTTCTCGTTCACGCCAGCCGGGAACAAGTCGATGTCGTCGGGGTACCTGGATAAATGTGAAGGAAATCGCACAGCCGCTCCGGTAACTGCTCTAACTCGGCACTACGGTCCCACGGCATCCACTATTTTCAGTGTGCGAGTATTTGTTGTTATTTCGTGGTACATACGAAAATACTTGCGGTTCCTGGTCTCGGTCACTACTACTTAACCCTCATACTTCGCAAATAACAATTCCGTCGGAGGTTTTTTGTTTCGTTTTTTTTTCATTCACATTAAAGTGATTTTTTTTCCTGTCAAAGCTACGCAAAGTAACAACACAATCTATGCAATAACCTGTTATTGAATACGTGTTATGTTGATACGCTTGAAAAGTGAATAAGTATCCCCGTGTACAATCAAAAAGCCTTTCACTAAAATCACGATCCAGTAAGGAGCTTGCCATTTTTGCGACTGAAAAAATAAACGTGTAAAACGCAGAAACATTGCAATGAACGGGCCCAAATATACTGTTCTGAAGCGGTCTACACCCCTAAAACATAAAAAAAAAAACACTTGAGTTTATAAAAAAGAAAAAACGTTTTTAACGTACATTGATAAGACGTAAGTAACAAAATAAACGCTGCAGCACCCCGCTGCAGCGTTCCATAAAAAAAGGACGCTATTCACGACATGGGACACCTTTTTAGTTAAAAACGATTCCGAAACTAACTTCAATATTGGATGTAGACAGGAATCGTTAAAATGAGTCTAGCACCGTCAATATTAGCCAAAAAAAGTGTTTTTTTTTTCTTCTTCTTGTTTCGAAACGTTTATTTTCGTCTCTTCAGGCGCTAAAAAAGAAAAAAAATTTTTGAGAGTTTGTGTCCCTTTAGTGGGCGTCTGCATTATCTGTTTTCGCCTTCGGCGGGTGCTTGAAATTCGAATAAAAAAGCGAATTAGGCACTCGAGAGTGTTTACGAAGCGACACAGGCAGGTGTCAACGCGGTCCGCGTATCCGCGGTGCGGGGAAGTCTCCCACGTCGCGCACGTACTTGTAGACTTGTGCGAAGGCCTTGGCGGACTCCGGCGTCATGATGTCGGCCAGCTGGGCGAAGTCCGTAATCCTGGGCATGCCGCAGTGTTCCCGCCAGTCGTTGTAGCTGGGGATGCCGTGGTCTCGGCCCCGCTGGATGTTCAACGCCACCAGGTCCATACCGAAGCCCTGGCCGATGGGCTCGTACAGGTGGTTAGTCAGCTGCACAGTTGAGCGGGGAAGACATTATTGAACGGACACTCTTTGCAAAAAAAGTTCTCAAAAAGGCAGGTGAGCTAATGCGTATTAATCATGATGTTTAAACCTTGAGACTGAGGAAAAGCTTGAAGATTAATAAAAAGGGATCTCTTCGCGTCTTCGGTGTGCAAAAATAAAATTTTACTTTCAATCAAGTTCGAGTACAAAGTGTGAAAACGCAGTCAAGCGTGTCAATGAGTTCCATACATCAACCTAAAACAAAGAAAAAATTAATATTGGGGGTCACTTAAGCTTCGCCTTTAAGAGTGGAACCCGATAGCGTTATTGGGTCCCTTTCGCAAAGCCTTCTCTTATTAACGCGTGCTCGTTGCCAAGCCGTGCAAGCGTGTGTGTGTGGTCCCATATGCAACGCGCGCAGCAACGTCTGACGTCACACGTGACTTCACACGTGGCGGCCCGCTTTGCATTATGGGATTTTCCCGCTAAATTTACGGGAAAATTTTCCGCTAAATTTGGCAGAAATATTGGCCGCTAAATCTGGCGGGAAAATTTTCCCGCCGAATTTAGCGGCCTACTTTCATAATGCAACGCGCGCAGTCACGTGTGACGTCAGACGTAGCTTCGCGCGTTGCAGTATGGTAATTTTTGGTCTCACCGACGCTGACGCCGACGTCGGATATTCTGCGACATGAGCTCCTAAATGTTATTGTGTTAAAACAGGCACATGCATATACACCGTTTCTGAAACTCAGGAACTACTTCATTTCACGATCTCTCCTTTGCATAGACATTGGCACCTCCTCGCCGTAGTGAGGACGAAGCAAAATATTGCCGTATAGTGTCCAAGATGCCAAATATTGAATCGAATATTGAATAGGCAAACTTCTATTTGCAATTAGCATAACCTTAAAAAAAAAAGCCCTTTAGACTGCACAAAGAGACCTGCGCGTTTATTCTCTCGTAGGGCACCGGGAAGGAAGTGCGGCTTGCACTCGAAACGCATATAGATTGCAGTAAGATCGGATGGGCTAGATGGTGCATTTCAATAATACAAACATAACTGACATTCTCTGTCCGCTCTCTTCACCCAGATTCCATGCTCCTGCACAGTTCCTTGATTTAAAAGATTACGGCACGGTTTTTATACTAAAAACAGAAATGTCTGTGCCCTGAGAATATTCAGTGACTATGGTTCATACCAACAAAAAACCTTTCAGTACGTACGTTACGTCATTTCCAGCTTCAGTAACTCGGAATCTCGGTGAGGTACGAGAAGCTCATAATGGTGCTTTTAATGCGAAAGTGCGCTGAAAGAATACTATTAAATGATAATTTATTTAGCATTTACACACTAAAATGTTTTATGACCTTAAGGGTGTAAATGAGCGTGTCACAGGGCCAACAGCCAAAGGGTGTTATACAAGAGCACCCTCAGACCGCTAGTGAATGCTTAAAAATAGCATGCTGGCGATCTTAGGAACTTTTTTTGCGGATATATTTTTAAGCAGCAAGTTTAGAAACATCACATTAATTTTCTCACATGCGCAGGAACGGCCAATACGCAGTAAACCACGCACGAGAGAGAGAGAGAGAGAGGAGTCACGGCCATGCTGACCGTCTGAAAGCGTTTATTAATGCGGGTCTCTGGTACAGGTCATTTGCACTCTAAACCCTTTGACGGTCGTGACTCTACTATTGGGTTCGAATGAAAGGCGAACACTGACGTCTAACCCCTGGTTAGCTCAGTTGGTAGAGCGCTCCACTTGTAATGGAGAGGTCCCGGGTTCGATACCCGGACCAGGCGGATTTTTTCGGTCGCTCACCAGTCACCTAGCTGTGGATGGAGATTTATGTTTGTCCCTTGTCCCTCTTGTTCCCCTTCTCCAGGGATTATTTTCATCACTGAAGCGTGTAGCCGTGGACACGTGCTGCGCCTCCTGGAGGCCTCTGGAAACTGATAAAACTGTGGGGTGAAAAGTAGACCATTCCATTTACCGCTCTCTGGGCGGCACCATTTTGTTCGACCGCAGCGCCCTCTCCACACATCCGGGAAGTTCAGCGGGTTCGGCAAGGTTCGGCGGGGTAAAACGAGAGAGAGGGCACGCGTCCGACTCCGCTAGCAGACGACAAACCGGGAGGTTGCCGTTCTCCATCTTTGGGCTGTATCGGCGGGCTCTACCGAACACCGAACTCTCGCTCGTGGCTGCCGTTGTGAAGTGGTTCGCGTTCTTAGAATAGTTGTGGCTACTCCAAAATCAGCCTATAGCTCTCTGTTGTTCTATTTTGCTAAATGATAAACTAGCATATCTTTTTTTCGTTACTTAAATAGCAGTTGAGTCAGCCGGCGGTACTACCCTCAACTACTGCGTGTATTGCGGCAGGAGAGCACGTTTTTATTTATTATTTCAAACTTTCACTCATGGTCGCTAAAGGCCTACACCAGTACGAACTTTTGTATAGTAAAAAAGGTACAGCAACCGGATTTTCTTTTCGCCAAAGAAACCGGCCAATCTGACACAGTTTTCCCTATTTTTGTTTTTTATTTGCACGCAGGTAATAGTGCAATTGGACCCTGTGAGTCTTTTTATCTAGTATAGTATTACACGATAACTGGCATACCAAAATCTGCGCATCTGCGCTTGAAAGTTCCAAAATGACGCGATTTTAAACAGAGTTTTGCACGCCAGCCGGACGCTAGCTACAGCCCACTCGGCGCAGCGGACGGCTTGCGGGGGAGAGGGGGAGTGCATTTTTTTTTCTCTTTTACCCTCTCTGCTCTGACCCTAATGGAACGGTCTATAGACCTTTTCCACAAGGGCGCCGCCATCTTGAATTGTCGTCACTTCCAGTATGGGCGAAAACATTGTTTTGCCGTCGCCACGCCAATAGAAGACATTTAGGATAAAAGCCTAACCGTCACACATTCTCGTTTTGGCTCCCCTCTATTATTTTGCTAGTTACAGGTTGAAACGTTTTAGTATTTTTTCGTCGCCCATACTGGAAGTGACGACAATTCAAGATGGCGGCGCCCCTGTGGAAAATGTCTATACACCAACTCATGTTTACAAACAAACCGGAGCGCCCGGAGCGCCCCTAGCGGAGGCCACCGGCGCCGCGCATGCGCGATGGGGGTGTGGGCAAAAAGCTCGCCGTCGCCCATAAACAAACCATTGAAATGCGATGTTGTCGGCGCCGGTGTGAGTCCCCGCGCTCTTTTTCGCGTTGGAACTGTTGATTCCACGTCCTCCTAACGATGTCTGACTACTTGAGCAGCGTCAGCGAAATTAACGAGGCTCGTTACACCGCAAAACTTCGCGTGAATCATCTGGCATGCGGCGATTCATTCCGCGTGGACGCCGCAGAACGTACGCTAAAGCCTGATTCGCATGATGAGATTTCGCTCGCAATTTTCAGTAGCGACGTCGCTCGAACTGCAAAAGCGTGAACCGTAGCTGAGATGGTCGACGTCGATACTGAAAATCGCAAGCAGAATCTAACCAAGTGAATCAGGCATAACAAGTCGGTGATGGCCACTGGTAACAATGATCAACATCTTGTATCTACTGTTTACGTCGAGCCTGCTTACCAACCTTCAAACTTAAGTCTTTTAAGGCCTGCACTTAATTCTTATCGCTTGCAAGTACCGGGCCCACGTTTGGTCTACGGGCCGGTGTCCTCTAAAAGAGCAGACGACAAGCAGAAACGTTTGAAAGAGCAGACGACAGTTCGAACGATTAGGCGACCGTTTGAACTTGAAGACGCACTGAACGTAGTCCGCAGGTGGTCCATACAACTTGACGGTTTTCCGGAGTTCATTTTGGAACAAAACAAATAAATCTGATGACCACAAGTATCCGTGAATTCAACCCAAAGTGCTTCCCGCCCAAGCAATCGTGGTCCAACGGCGTCTGGTTTTCCCTTTTCACGGCACATATCCGCGTTCTCGGACGAACCGAGCGCATGAAAACTGACCTTCAAACCTTTTTCGACACTTTTGGTTCGGCCCCAGTCCCGGCGTTTTGACGAGAGGCAGGTTTTTGTCTGGTTCCTTTCAAAACAACGCAGGAATACACGTCTGGCATGGGCACTTCTGCCCACAGCCCCAGACCGGAAGTGCGACCGACGCGCCACCACCGCGCCGTGACGTAACAGAGATGAGTTCGTGTATACTCCGATCTGTTTGACCCTCGCCCAGCACAACCCGAGATTCGACGCTGTGTCGATGGTGCTGACTGACTGAATAAATCTTTATTTGCTCAGATGGAGGGTTAGGCGGCCAAAAATTCCGTCACTGTTCGCATTTCATTTGAACCCAATAGTACACGTACGGCGGTGATTACACATTTGAAAGGGACCGCTTAACGAAAAACTGCGTGCAACGTGGTAGGTGTTTTGCCATTTCTTATGTATTTGGCGAACTAGAAACGTTATATTTGCACAGTGTTTCCCATTGCTGGACTATATATAGCTTTTAAAGTCGACGCTCCGCTCACGTGAGTCTCACTTCGCATACCGGCCTCTCCGGGAGTAGTGCCAGTGGGAGCACTGCCTCCTCCGATTCAGAATTCCAACGCTTTTCGGAATTAAATGTAGAGGATGAGAGCTCATCATCCAAAGGAGGACATCTTTAATGTACTTTGGCTAGGATTTTGAAGACTCTGGAATGTCGAAGAAGCGGATGCGCCAAAATGAAACCGAATGGAAGTATTTTTAATTTGATGCTTCTAAACCTCAACAGGTTGCAAGCACTGTACGAGTTCCCGCTAGATGACTAGGAAAAAAATATGCACTGACCATTTCTTTGTATTATCCCTTTGAAAACAAAAAGGCGATCGTTGAAAAGCATCTTTGTATATATAAAAAAAAAATCTTAAACCGCCAAAGTGTTAAGGGTGTAAAATTTCTTAAGAGCGTATCATCCTCTCTTTCATCTCTCACCTTTAACAACTAGTCTAGCCCCATTTCTACGAGAAGGCGAAACTAAACCCCACTGGGAGACAGATTATACCAGTACGGATGCCTTCCCCTTCTTGTGAACAATAAAAGTTCCACCATTACAATCTTGGAAAGCTTACCCGCTTCGCTGTTGTAATTGGGCTCCAGTGTAATGGCTCGTTTACACTTGCGGATTCGTGGGCGGATCCGCGGAGGCAGAAAGTGGATTTTAGAGCCGGGTGGCGAAATCGGCTCGTCGCTGGCGGAAAATCTGGATCACGCCGGGAACCCTATTCAGATTGTTCACCGGCGACGAGTCGAGTACCCGGCTCTGAAATCCGCTTTCCGCCTGCACGGATCCGCCAGCGAATTCGGAAGTATAAACGAGCCATAGCTGCCATACGCCACTTAACAAATGCTCGCGTGTCTAATTGGTGGTCGCAGAACGCCGATTGAGTTAATATTTGCAATTTATCGTACTGAAAAAAAAAACAAAAAAAAACATACACACCCGTACGACTCCTATAACAGCAAACGGAGGACTCATATATCAAGAAACGTTTGAAAATTAAGCGGTTTTATCAACGGACTTCACAATTTTAGGTGTTTCCAGACAATCTACCTTATCTTGTACAGGTACTATACACTTAAAACACATTAAATCTTGTCGGTGCTGTGCACAAGATCTATTTAATTAAAGTATCGCTAGTGTCAAAAATGATTAAGTTCAGGTGGTAGAAAACGATGCCATTTATGACACAAGGAAAGCATGGTAGACACAAGGAAAGTATTAGTCAACCATGGCCAAACATCAAATTAGCGCGTGCGTTCTTCATTAAGAAAAATGTATATACGTTATATGGTTCGTTCATATGTCATTATGAAATAGGGGCCGTATGGGTGCATATATGTGTATTTTTTTTTTTTTTTTTCGAGTAGGGCACGGAAGGAGCGACCTCGATGACCAGTAAACATATTAAAAAAAGATTTTGACCTAAAAATACAGTAGCGACAGTGGGCATGACGTGAGCTCGTGAGAAGTTTGGGCTGAGTGTCGCAGCGCAGCACGCATATTTCAGAGGAAAAGCGTTTCCGGCATTTACACTCTAAAAAAAAAACCGTGCATCCGCTTTCCCACACAACACTCGGAGAGCCAATCACCGGAACTTACGGAGGCAGCTCAGCGAATGGCGATGGCGAAACATATATTTAGAACAAAAAACGCGCAGTCTGAGTTGTGACATTAAGTAATTCAAGCGTGATGTTTTGCATTGCTTAATGTCACAACTCAGACTGCGTTTTTTAGTGTAAACATGTTTCGGCATCGTCATTCGCTAAGCTGCCGCCGTAAGTTGCGGTGATTGGCTCTCCGAGTTTTGTACGGCAAAGTGGACGCACATGCTTTTTTTAGAGTGTACTTAGTTTCAGCTTCGGTCCGAGTGCGGCCGATGTTATGAGCCGAAGGGCCAATCAAACAGCGCAAAAAGCGCAGCGTAATGGTGTGCTCTCTGCGCTTGATAGGACTAGCCGGCAGAGGAGTGCGTACAAAAAGGCGGCGAATACCGGCATGGTCCTATCAACTGCAGAGAGCACGCAATGACGTTGTGCCTCTTTCGCTGTTTGATTGGCCCTTCGGCTGATAACATCGACCGCGCTCGGACCAAAGCTGAAACGAAGTATAGTCATTCGCCGAGGTCTTTTCGCAGATGGCAGTGATTGGCCCTCCTGGTGTGCTGCGGGAATGCAGCCGCACAAACTCAAGTATCTGTTTACGGAACGTCCCGGGGCTCTAATCTCGACATTTGGCGAAAACGTCGCCGAAGAATCTGGCGGCCCTGATTGGCCGGCGCGACGCTTGACCTTGGCGCTGTCCAATCACTGCGGTCGAATTTCTCGCCGACTTTTTCGCCAAGTGTCCAGATTAGTACCCCGAGTGTGCGGTAAAACATAACTTGGGGCTTACTTGTTGCGTGACGAAGCGATCGTAGGTCTGTGCAGGCTGCGTGATCAGGCCCCTGAAGAAGCGATCCAGGTTGCCCGGGTGATAGATCTCGTTCGGATTGAAGAACTGGGCCGCCAGCGGTATCCGCTTGTGCACGGATCCGTCCTCGTTGATCAGCTCGATGTTGCCCTGCGCGCAGAGCCCGTGCAATGCAAATTAACTGTACATAATTTCAAGCTATTTACACCACTTGTCGGCGACTTTATAGAGTTTGACAAGTAGCTTATAGGTACCAGTTATGCGTTACACGTGTATCAAGCGTGTGGCATTTATCCAGCCTTCTATTAATTAAGATATTGTAGTTCACACGGATTTAGCAAGTGCTTCTTGTTTGAAGCAATATTTCATGGCAAGACACATTTTAAGATAGGCGCGCCTAGCATTGCTTTCGTATATATATATATATATTTACCCTAAAATTAAACAATAAATAATGCATTTTTTATAATACTTTTATAGTATTTCAAATTTGTCCAGGGCACGCCCCAAAGCATGTTTTCTGCTTTGCTAGGTGGCAACAGCCCATGATATCGATAGTGCTGTTGAAAAACGTATTGCCTATTTTTCCATTTAGCAATAAGACTGAAGTCCCTGTACTTTTAAATGACCAGTAATAGCTTTCGAACGGACGGGCAAATATTGGCAGACATGTTATCGTTGTCTTTGACAGAGCTTCGACTGTGTTCAAATTTATCTTTAAAGTCTGAGATCATGTGCGCAGTATGGCAGTGAACATTGTCAACACTCAACAACGATGGGAATCCTAAGGAAGAACAGAATGGCATTTGAGCATTGTTATTGCTATAGTCTCTGGATGGCATATTTAAAGTTCTTTTTTTTTTTGTCACACATACAGTGCAACCTAGAGTATCCGGAAGTTTAGACCACATCTCTGTTGCCGAAACTTACGAATTTCATAAACTCTGGTATTATAATTCTTGCACATAAAGTTATGTTAAAAAAAAACTAAAAAAAAAACTTGTTCCTAGCTTCTAAGAATTTTTTTGTTCTCTCGATGTGTTGTATTTTATTCAAGGATTCGCGCTTCCACGCCAGAAAGCAGTAATTAACATTCGTTCACACCCGACTCATACATTCGCACTTAGAAACACTCACAAAAAAAAAAATTAAAGAAAAAAACGCGTGTGCATACGAAGTTAGATGTATTACATGGACACACACCGCACACAAGTTCGCATGACCGCAAAACATTTACGGTAGTTAAACTCGAGCTGACAAATGAGATTCTGGTTGCATGAACCTCAACACCTATATCGTTGCTTGACTCTGGACACTGGTTAACGAAAGCGGTCCTCGACTGCAGCGCGTAGCAGTGCTGACGTTTTCAGAGAGCACAAGCTAATACGCGCATTTCAGGTATGCATCATTTCGTTCCTCGATATCGGTATGATGGCCGTTTCAAAACTTCGGGGTAGTGCGACAAAGCCTGCGCGGTCCAATCTATTTGAGAAATCGAGCCCTCTCGTCGTACTCACCTGCACGAGGGTGTGCCCGTATCTGTATGCAGCGGTGGCGAACACGTTGCCGATGCCGGCGTTCAGATTGGGATCGTAGCTATGGCTGTAACCGTACGGCGTAAGCAGCAGGTCGAACTGTTCCATCACTTTGCGACCTGGCCGACGGAGAGTGAAAAAAAAAAGTAACATATCTAATTCAGGAGTTTATAAAGCTTCATATGCATAATTGACGGAAGAATAAAAAAAAAATGAAAATTAGATTCACGTTCACAGTAAGCGATGAACGTACAAGCATTTGTTCTCGAACTAAGCAACGATTGTGCAAACGTCATCCTTCACCCTCATACATGCGACCGCTGTGGCGGTAATCGGCGTGCAAAATTTGTAGACTTTTTTTTTGTTTTGTTTTGTTTTGAATGGTCTTGGTGACTGTACGCAGGTTACAAAATAATTCACTGTCGCAAATAGCGGGAAAAAAAAGCAGTTTCGCTTGCTTCATGGATCTGTTCTGTAGCTTACTCATGGTTCAGATTCCCTCCAAGGGTCCGCCAAAATATCGATCACCGAAAGAAGGTTCCTACAATCACTGTCAGCTTAAGAAACAGACGGCGTGACGATTCCCGAACATCTTATTATCGCTTCTCGGCTAATGAAATTGCGGAATTGGCCCGTACGGATGCGGAAGCGCCCATCACGAAGCGTGAACACAATAAGCCACTCCCAGCGTCTCTTGAGCTGTCGGCGACTGTACAACAAGACTTACTGGTACGTCTGCGAGCCATGTGCTTCCTAAACTAATATTGAAAAAGTTTACGCGCCAAACCCACGAAAGGCATCTGGCACACCCTAGGGAAATGTCGATTACCTAGGGACCTTTCTGACGAGCAACGAAAATCTCGATTATACCGGGCCTTCACCGCAATAAATATCCGTCAAATCGCAAACACCTCGCCTAGAGAATTTTTTTTACTGGTTGTTTATTGAGGTTAGGTTATTACCATGACTATTTTTTATTCATTAAATGACAAAAATATTATACAATCTTAATCATGCTGACAGCGACTGGTAAGCACAGGATGTGTGATGGGACTTCCACTTATCGGTGTTTATCTGCGGGGCAAACGGTAAAGGCTTTTCTGATGCTGCTGCCTTTTATTAAGTTACCCATAAGGCTCGCGCACGGGCTGCGGCTGTCTGCTTCGTAGGAGCCACGACCATGACGGGAGGGGTGAACGCGTCGTCTGAACGGCACCACCTACCGAAGATTCGCTCCCATTTCTGACACACGCCGTGAGACGGCGCAGCATGGCAGGAAAAAACGCGAAGCGCGCTACCGCACCTTCACGCGTTGCACTAAGGAGTTCGCTTTGGCGTGCTAGCAACCACCGACCCTAAATAGCTCAATTAATAAAGAAAGAAAATGCATTGTTTAGTTGTCAAAGCACAAGGCTCGCAATCTTAAGGTGGTGAGTTCAAATCCTGCCGGAGATCAAACTCTCTTTATAAGCTTTCCTATGGGCGTAACGCTTTGGCGTTCGGTTTTTCGTTACAGCTGCGGCCGTTACAATAAAACATTACACATCTCCGTGATAATCGGCTGATGAACCACATTCTGTGTTACAGAACGCACCCAGGAGCAGTGGCAGAAACTCGTTGAAGCAGATGTGCTGGAACTCTGCGGCAACGATCCTCCTGGCCTCCTGGTACAGGATCTCGTCCTTCCAGCCCGGGTTGAGGCGGTGCAGCTCTCCGGCGACCCGGTTGTGCTCTCGTAGCCACAGCGTGTGCATCGCCGTCAGGCTCACCTGCTCGTTCACGCGCTCGTCTCCTGCGGAAACGAGGTGGGGCGAGACACATACGTAAGAAATGAACCTTCGATAACGAGGGCTTGTTGAAAGAACCGTTTCCATTGAAACGAAAATAGGACACGATACAATGTCGAAGCATGTCAACATAAATATTGTGTAGCTACAAATACTTAGAGCAGTAATTATTATTTTCGAAGAAAAGATTTGATTAATAAATGCTGTACAACATGTTTTACCAGTTAGCCCATATTTTTATTTATATTATCATTTGTGTTTTGCTAAATATAAATATTGACTAGTAATTATGCATGGCCATGTAGTAAACTTCAGAAAAAAATTCAAAACCATACTTTTTCCCAATAAAGTGTTATCTTCAAAAGTACGCGTTTGTACAAACTATACACACGAGAACGATCTGAACGAGTGAGCAATTTTGAGATAACGGTTATTAACCAATGTGCATTTCATATCACACGTTAAGGTTCTGTGATAAAAGTCTAAAGCTCGTCCTACACCCCCCCCCCCCCCCCCCCCCCCCCCCCCCCCCCCGTGGTCCTTACCTGCCCTGAAGCAAACGAAGTCGGTCCCTTGTTCGTTGCACTCCTGCGTGCCATCTGTTTGACGAGGCAGCAGCTCGTCCCTGCTGAAGAACGTGGACGCCAGCCGACCTGCGCAACATCAACAGTTGCGACGTCAGTGTATACCGTTGCTATCTACAACTTTCCACTACCTCGTACTCGCGTCCATGTTCAGGACCATTCTAGGATTAATCGAAAGGTAGCTCGTACCGTCCCTGAAGCTCCGCAGGGACTTGGCTTCTTCTTCCGTCGAGCCGTAGATGTTGGAGGAGTCCATGTAAGCAGTCAGCTGGTTCAACTGTTCACGAGGTCCTGAAAAAAGTATTGGGCTTAAAACTTGAACTGGAGATATTTGTCAACAACATGTTTCATGTAGCCATCAAATTTTATATTGAGTAAAGCAAACGCCATAGACATAAAATATTTTTTTATCTTTCTTTAATAGAAACGCCTGCTTCTGTGTCCAATTTCTAAAAGGCCAACGTGATTGATTATGCTTTGTGTCCGCGTCCCTAATGGTTTTATCCTTTTTCCAACGGTGTGAACAACTAGGAAACTTGGGTTAGCCTCTCTTTCTTCCCATTCCGGTCTTTCTCTTTCTACTTATTTCTCTCTATCACTTTTTGCTGAGGGCCATGAGACGTATACGCCAACGCGTTGTTTGCAGACAAGCCAGGGTTTTCCCACACCAGATATGGCCACTGCGCGCACGCAGAAACAAGAATTGCGCGACGTCTACGAGTGCGCCGTCCCGGCAGCAGCGCCACCGCAACGGCATGGTGACGTCAGAGTTGCCTGCTGGTCTATAGAACTTTATGGCGGAAGCGAAAATCACGTACCGAACGTGCACTGTGGTCGGGGCGCCGGCACGGAGCGTACAAACTCGATGCACCTGAGGTTGAACTCTGAGTAGAAGTGATCGTTGGCATCCAGGTCGATGGGCATGCAGGCGAAGTGCCTTTTGGTCGGGTTCGTAAGGAACTCCTCGTCGCAGCAGGTGATGGCCGAGCCGTTGCGGACTGCGAATAAAAGGCTCGTCAGGCGACTGGCGTCCGAAACAGCTGTCTATAGAACTATCCTGAGCAGCGTGACTGCTTCGTTGCAGATCACGCGTAGAAACCCGGTCAATTAGAAAGCCAGAAGGCATCTGCATTCAAGGATGCTATCAGTGCTGGGACCTTTCTTGCACGCTGTTTTGCGCAATAAGTGTTTCAGCGCTTTCGGCATCTTTTGAGGTTAATCTGTTTTTAGGCCTCGATATTCGATAGGCAACCTTCGTAATCTTATATTTGTAACGTGCGTGTTAGTATAAGTTTACTTCTAGCAAAAATTATAAAAGACAAAGAGGACGAGACACAGACGGGCACAAGAATGTGCCCGTGTATCGTACCCTTTCCGTTTTATTCTTTTTCATGGAAGCAACCTTCGTAGGTCGCAGGGATTACTTTTTCTGCTTGCTTTGGTGCTTGGAATCCGTCTCTGACTTGTGTATTTAGCGACCTATTCCGCCCATTGATCGAAAGTGGTCCTGAAGTTGCAAGAAATGACGTCACAAATGCAAGACTGTTATATGCTGTTGGATGACACGACTCTGGTGTTTGGTGCCAGAAATCTTGCTAAAAAGTACGAGCGAACGCGAGTGTCGCTGTCGACATGGCGTCCCAACTCTTGGCTGCCGAAGCTTCTGTGAACTGTCAAACTGGAGAGCGACCTGCAGTAGTACAGGCGTCGGTCACATCAACCACCGTCGCTGGGACACCGCCAGGATCGTGGCAGGCGACAGCATTACACTTTTATGACGTCATCAGGTGGAAATCGAGAGACCACTTTTTCGGACGTGGTAAGAACAGCAGTCGGAGAAGCGCTCCGGGCATCATACTTTGAGGAAGAGTATGCGGAGCGCAAGTTCGTCTGCTTCTTTTTGCAGGGGTGCTTTGAGGTATACCCACTATCCTTCAATCAGAGCCAATCAGAGCTCGACGTTCTGACCTCAATGCAACCCCTGCAAAAGAAGCAGACGAACTTGCGCTCCGTATAGGTTTATAATCCTGTTGCTGTTATTGCTCTTGTTTTTCGTAGGATATGCTTATGGGCGAGTGTAGTATGTGTTGAACAGCAAACGTTTTTCGAAGAAATGCAATCTCGTCTACTTTCTCGCTTACCACATGAAAACAAAAACTGAACCTAATACATTAACAAAAACTGAGGAAGAACGAAATGTTACCTTTTAAAACAAAAGTACAAACTGCACTGAGACAGTCAGCACACGAAAAAGCTGTGGCTTGCGTGAATGTATTTTGGGCAGTAAGCTTTTCTCTTCTTGTACGTTTAGTATTTCGGTTGCTTGGTAGCAGTGCAGTTGTTTAAGTAATACAAACTGTTTTTAAACTAAGTGAAATGAGAAAAATATTCTATAGCTTAACAGGTAAAACCAAATAGCTGTGACGTCGCAGTTAAATCATGGTTGTTGAATTTTCACAGGCAGCAACGAGAGCGATTGCACGTTCGTCCGAATTCCTCGTTAAAAGCAGCAAGCATCTTTTCTCTTTAAGATCGTCGAAACACTTCTCGAGACAACACTTTCTTCTTCAACGTAATTCGACTGTGTCGTCACAGTAGTTTTCGCGCACACGTCATTGATGGAACGCGTCGCTATCGCTCAAATGTAGTTGTTTAACCCGTTTCAGCGGTTAAACTCATACTTCGTTTCACGCCCAGTCCAGACGCAGTCGCCGTACGAGTTAATCAGACCAATACCAAGCAGCGTCAAAGCGCAAGTCGCTGGGCCTTGTCTGTTTAGGATTGGTTCAGCAACGACATAACACGATGGTACCATCAGTTCGTAGCTTTGATTGCGTCTGGAATAAAGGTGGAGCAAAGTATTGCTGGGTTAACACAATGGAGAATAATTAGCATCAATACTCATATGCGAACGGAACATTCACTTATAAAGGCCAGTTCACACATGCAGCCGAGCGCTAAATTAGCGCTACGTGAGCGCTCCAAGGAGCGCTCCAAGGAGCGCTCCTGTGGCGCTTCCTAGCGCGTGATGTATACCGCTGGGTTAGCGCTTCAGTAGCGCTCTGTTAGCGCTTCAGAAGCGCTTTGTTAGCGCTCTGTTAGCGCTACAGAAGCGCTGCAGAAGCGCTCTGTTACCGCTCTCAATTGTACCGTGCTTGCTGCTGCGGAACAGCGCATGCACGGCGATTCCTTTGTTGTTGTTCTTCCTTTGGCATTGAAAGAAGAGGTAGTAAAACAGCCGCTCTCCAAGCAAAGGGTCGGGCAGGCGACCCAGAGTCATGAACTTTGACCGACTAATTGATTGGGTATGACCTCATCGCTTTCTTTTCGATACGCGTGACCCTGGTTTCAAAGACACGCAGTTAAAATAACCGCCTTCGAAAGAGCTCTGTGTCTCGGTCCCTCAGCCTAGGAACAAGGTTCACTAGGTACCTGTCGGTAGCTCGGTGGCGAAAGATTTCGCGCACCCAGAAGGCCTCTTCTGGGCGTTAAGCCGTCCACACACATATGCACTAATCGCGTATGTAAGAGCATTGGTCGCATTTATATTTCAGCATCCCACATGTCCGCCATGGTGCTGCTGATTCACACCCAAGCACAGGAACCGGAACCGCAGTGCACGCGCTAATTCGCAGCACCGCGGTACAAGAAGCGCTACTAAAGCGCTAACACGGCGCTACTGGAGCGCTAACAAGGCACTACTGGAGCGCTAACAAAGCGCTACAGAAGCGCTAATCGCGCGCTGCGTTAGAACTAAGTAACGCGCCAGGAAGCGCCACATGAGCGCTCCTTGGGGCGCTCACGTAGCGCTAACTTAGCGCTCCGCTGTATGTGTGAACAGGCGTTAAGTACCCCTTTTTAAGATTTTTTTTTTTTTTTTGCACGTACTGAGACGACACCGAATAATCGAGGCCTGCAAACATCCTCTCTTCCTCCGCGACACCTCATGAAAGTCGGATGGCGCCAACTCAGACATTGGACCCGATGTCGATGCCGAGCGTAGTTCGACGCTCTAGTTGGACACGAGGGCCATCCGAACTCTGACACGACACTCGTGTCTACGCTCGATCTCACCGCGAAGACGTCAAAATTGTAGTTCACGGGCTTCGATGATTTTAGGTGACGGTTTTGACCGAAGGGAACTCACATCTGGTGACTCCGGTGAGCGTGAGGTCGTGGTCGACGAACTGAGCGAACTGCATGAGCATCAGCGTGTTCCGTTCGTTGGGGAAGTCTCCGTCGGGATCGGCGGCCACCGAGATGGTGCGGGGGTTGGGCAGCGGGTTGCCGTCCAAGCTCACTCGGGGCAGGGTCAGGCCTGCACGAGGAACGGAGGGCGTTATTGGTAGTCCTTATTACTAGAGTCCCGTTTTACGAGCAAGTCAGCGTTTGCCCACATCAGCTGCGAGCATTGAGGTTGCGCAGAAACTAGGTTCCCGTGAAGCGAAGCGTCTGCGCAGGATCAGTGCCGACAGCAGCTCCACCGCAGTTGGAGTATAGTTATTCACAGCTTTCGAAAGACGGACTCAATATCTTCAAGCTTGTTGCTCGCTGACGCGTTCTTCTTATCGACTGACTCTGATTGGATGCCACAATAAGATGCTCGCCCTCTCGACTCGCAGCCCCCCACCCCCTCTCTTTTCTTAAAGCGAATGTCGAACAATAGACAGTTTCACAGAGACAGTTGCTTCATCGGGGACCACTCGGAATAAGTACTCAACTTTAAAAGCTAAAAAAAAAAAATATATATATATTTGGTTACGTCTGCATTTCTGGTCTCTATGGCTATAGTATTGTTTGATATCTTTAGTTTCCCGCGGCTTATTATCTCGGTATTTACATATACAACGCGATGTAAACAGTAAAAAACAACATTGTGTGTGTGAAAATTGATTGATCTTTTTACCACCTAACGTTTTCCCTGCCTTGATTAGGCTTGTGCCTCAGTGCGTGAATAGTTTTTTTTTCTTCTTTTTTTAACCTGGGATACATATTAGTTCGTGAAGCTGCAGGAGAAACGCAAACCCACCAAAAGTTTGTGATATCATCGCTTCTTTGCTTAAAAAAAAAAAAAAACACCAAAAACGTGAACGTTTGTAAAAACAAGCTGAGGTAAAACGTGATAATGATATCGCAATCTGACTGTGCTCGCAGAAGGGACTTTCACTCAAACATATTGAACCCTCGAGGCTTTAAAACAAACAGAAACAGCACATGCACAGGTCTCAACTGTCTAACCCAAAAAGTTCCTTCTCACACAAAAGAAAAAAAAAAAACGATCGTAATATGTTCATTTTTCGAACAAATAATATACTGCCCTTTAAGAAAGTAACGAACGTCCCATGCACGTGGAGGGTCTCCTGCCAACTGCAAATGAAAAGCAGCCCAACGTGCCACTGCCTGTGAGAACCCATTGACATCGTGTCGTCGTATCGATTTTCATTTCATTTTAAGCCCTATACCAGCGACGCTAAAAAGAAACTCGTTCAAAAAAGACGACATACGCGCAGAGGTAGGTGCCGACAATGCTGGTCGTGCGGGACGGTGCCCTCCGAAAATGGCGACAGTGGGAAGCAAGGGTCAGGGGAGAGGGTGGAAGCATGCCCAGAGGATCACTGGATAATGTTCATTATCTCCGAGCTTCTCGGAGAGATAGTAGAGTGATGTCTAAGCTTTACGTTCTCTCCAAAGCCTAGCTCAGAGCGTCTTAAAAAAATGTTAGGTATATCAAAATAATATGAAAGGCTGTTAGAGTTGACACTATCCACGACAGTGGATAGCTTAAGTATTGCGTATGAGCAAACTCAAGCACGATGTGTTTGCGTTAGCGTTGCGTGAATTGTGCTGCGTCCTCGCCAGGCGTCATTCCAAGACACAGTTTAGGCTCCCGCGCATGCGCAGTATGGAACACGCAACGCTAACGTAAACGGAGAGTGCTAGAGTTTGCTCGTATTCGCAACACGTAAACTCACTTGTAATTTCTTGGTACACCTGCGCCCCAAAATCGCAAATTCACATAATAAGAAAAAGAAATTTTTTTAACCCTAGACAGTGGGGACAAGGAGGCCAAGCACGACACACATCTCCAAAAACCAGCTCGCCTGCACCCTTGCTTTAACCAGAAAAACATTTATCGTGTCATAAAAGAGCCACTTAAACATTGCTACATTGAAATTAATGTTATCTGTGTGCATTAATGTTTTTACAGTGGTATGAGCGACTTACATCCGATTTCTATAATTCGGTAATGTCACTTCAGATAAGAAACTATTCAGTCTTTAATTTAATGTGATTATAGTTGCATGTGATAGAAGACTTTCTTGAACTGCCGCAAAATGTCCCATTAGTAGATAGTTTTAGTACAGCTTTGCTGGATCTTACGTACGCAATACGCAGTAGTATAGCGTACGCTAAAAATGACCTGCTCGGACCGAATTTAGTTGTGCGTTACGTTTTCGAGTGAACACCGCGCATGATCTTGGTTAAATTTGCTAGCGCCGTAGAATGCAGCGTGCTTATAGCGCAACCATGCTCCTGGAAAGAAATATTCAAAAAGAAAAAGTGTCCAATCCTTTTATTTCAGATTAAAAGCTGCCTCGTGAAGCGCGCTTTTCTGCGGGGTACAGAGGCTACGAGTACGAGTGCGTAGCCAAATTCGATCACGGAGCCTCCGTCAGTCGTCCCGTGGAAACGGCACCTTTTATCAATGCTATCGCGGAATGAAATGCATGACCCTAATGTCTAGTGCATAGCAAGAACTTCGGCGATTTCTTTTAGAGTCGGTCGTCCGTCGGTGATGAACTGTGGGAATAGGCTTAGCGTTGAGCAGATCGCAGAGTCGACGCACACTGCGAGCGGCGAACATTTCCACTGTGCACTCCTTCAGCTGCAGGGCGATCTGATTTGACCGCGGTAGGGCCCAGAAAGAATCGCCGAGCTGAACACGCAATTTCACGTAACACAGAACTTCGAAAACACCACGTCGCCCTTGCTGCGCCAGTCGAGGCAACCGCCATCTTGAAACTGGCGCTCTCGTTGGGTCCGAGATCTCTTGAGAGCGTCCCGCAAGGCCCGCTAGCCAGCAACGCAAAATCCCCAGCGTTGCGTGCGTACGCAATACGCTAGCCCTTCTATTGCGTTCTGCGCATGCGCGCTCACGACCCGCAATCTCCTTGCGTACGCAAAGGTATAGCGTGCGGTCCACCAAAACTGTCTAGTGTCTAAAGGCTTTGCGCAAAAAGATTGATTGTGAAATATTGAGTGTATAGCTGTGAGCAGTCGCTCCTCGCGAGATATTAGATATTTTCAGATTTATTTTTATTTTAATACGTTTAATTGCTGGCGCAGTTCATTGGGAGTGCAATAAGCTATTCGTGATTTTTCGTTACTATTTTTATTTTGCCTTATATTACTCTTCACGTTGCTGCCGCGCGCCAGGTGGAGAGTAGAAGCGCACCAGTGTTTATGCAAGGCGGCGTGTAAGGTATCGAACTAGTTTTGCCTAATGACACCCTGTTCTTTTTTTTTTTTTTTTTTCTTACTGCGAACGGTCTGTGTCCTGTCGGAGTATCGTGTGGACCATGCATCACAAGCCGCAGGCAGCTGGCTCGTCATCCCTTTTTCGTTTTTTTCAGGAAACATGCTTGTTATACGAGTTTTTGTACGACTAAGCGGTAAACAGTAGAGCTCTGTGGGACTCTTAAACTAAGCTACAATTAGTGCATATACAGGGTGTCACAAAAGAAAATTTACATGGTCTTTTTTACCGCAAAAATAAACTAGGTATCGCCGAACGCTTATTCTCCGCCCAAAGGTAGAGCTAGAGGTCACAACCAGATGCCAAAGTTTCAGCCCGAGCCGATAACTTAATCAAAAGTTATTAGTGTTTTTCTGAAAATTTCAATGGGAAAATGGAGCCCATTTTGGCCCGTTTTCGGTTTCTGGTGCCATAGAGCCCCATGTGTTCGAAAAGTCCGTCTGCCGCCATTTTCCCACTGAAATTTTTAGAAAATCACTTATAACTTTCGATTAAGTTATCCGATCGGGCTGAAACTTTGGCATTTGGTTGTGACCTCTAGCGCTACCTTTGGGCGGAGAATGAGCGTTCGGCGATGCCTAGTTTATTCTTGCGGTAAAAAAGACAGTGTAAATTTTCTTTTGTGACACCCTGTATTATCGAAAACAAAATACTTTTATAGGAATGAAACCTTTGTGCCCGTAGAAATTGCCATCTGGATGCCGAAGTCCCCTAGCTAAAGCCCTTGTGCAATTCAAGTAACTGGTCTCGGTAAAAAAATCTTGAAAACCAGGTGTTGTACGTTTTTGTTCCTACGGTTTTTCTTTCCTTTATTTTTCACCCTTTTCATTACTCCCAAAAGCTAACTCACTACCAAAAAAAAAACAAAAAACAAAAACAAAAAAAAACGCCTTATATATTTTGGAAAGGTTGTCTTTTTATTTTTGTAATACAGACAAGATTCAAGTGTTTTCGTGTTATGTTTTTTTGTCCCTTCTTCCCATTGTTTCAGGAGTTACAAGGTCAGCCTGATGCACAGGAAAGTTGGCGCCAATAAATCAGCCTTACTGAACAAAGCCCGTGTGGAACAAATCAGTAAACAAAATGTTGTCACTTGGATTCGTCACTATACCGCTGCACGTGAAAAAGAGTAATCCGTCAAGTGCGCTGCCCCCTTCTAAAGCCCAAGCTCACCGTCGGCGTAGTTGGGCGGCATGAACCTCTCGAAGGCGGTGAGGGACTTGCCCCACTCCCTGTTCTGGAGGTTGTTGCAGCGTCCGTCGGGGGACCGGTACTTGGTCGAGGGGCAGCGCGGCACGGGAGGACAGGCGTCCGAGATCACCGTGTTCTGGATGTTGAAGCGCTGCAGGCCATCGCGGCCCTGCGTCGAGTCCAGGTTGAACCTGCACCCAGGATGGTGCACTCACACTGGTTGGCCACTGTTTCCTTCGAGGCACCGCCGAAATCGCGACGTATGCCTTGTATTTTTTTAATACTTCCTGCACTTGAAAGCTTTCCTGCTCATACAGCATACAAAGGACATGTTGTTCGTTGCAGCCACGATGACAGAAGTATCTGCGGTCACGCCTGAAGCATGTTCAAAGCCCGTTTGCCTTCTTACATGCTTCGAAGATGTCTGTAGACAGTTCTTGTATGACCAATGTGTCCGTCGTACGAGGAAGGGACAGTGTCTTCAGACTGTCTTTTGGATGATACATGAGCAGTGTGAGCGCGGTGTAAAAAAAACGTATCCTAGTTGTTTTTTCTTTTTCTTTTTTTTTTTGTGAAACGCGGAGATTTTAGCTAATTACGGCGAAGAATAGGATTCCAGCGAATTACGATGCAGATAATACGATTAAACTAGGAGAAATACGATGTGCTCAGGGACGCCGAGCACGAAACGCTCGACTCGCTCATTGCCCCTGGGAATACCGCGTGTTTAAGATCGAATCGTATTCTGAGCTTGTTCATTCGCTATGATCTCTCCTTTGTTTGCCGTGATTGGCTGCCTTTGTGTTCTGTAGGAAATTGAGCTGACAGTTTTTTTTTTTTTAGTGTGTGAGGAATAAACATTTTGTCGGAAGCAATAGAAGCTTAAATTCGTGCTTTTAGTCCGACGTTATAGTTGCTATATTACAAAAAAACCTTACGCGGTTTTTCTGCTGTAAAACGAGCCGGAAAAATCGGCACCTGCGTACAGAAAGCTCGAACGCACGGAATGTGCACTGGGCAGGTCAGTTTTACCGTACGAAAGTGCAAGGCACAGTTTTCTTTTTGTAAATAATTACAGCAAGAGACATCCCTAAGTCAATGTTGCGCGCGTTGGCAGACGACCGAGTTAGCGACGTTATTTACTTGTAGCGCCATTTCTCGAAAGGAGCTGCGAGCAGACGACGCACTCTGTTGTCTGCTAGCTGCGCCCACCGAGAGATGGCGCTACAAGTAAATATAGTCGCTAACTTGGTCGTCTGCCAATACGCCTAAGCTTGATCTTGGTCAGTTTTTTTTATCTCTTTGTTTTTTCACGGGAAGAGAACTACGCCTTGAAATTTTACACGGAAAACTGACCTGCTCAGTCCACATCCGGTGAAGTTCGAGCCTTGTATGTGCAAGCACCGAGCTTTCCGGCTCAGGAAGTTGCATTCATGAATTGTAACGATCGCCAGTTACACCTGCTCTCTGCTAAGTGGCAAAATGGCAGCGCAAACGAAACAATTAAATATTTCAGTGATGATACTCTAATCATAGCATATTCGGTGGGTCTGAGTAGCACGTTCGAGATAATGACATGGCCTTACTTTCTTGCCAGTTCCCTGGTGGCTTCCAGTCCGATGAGGCCGTCCCTTCCAAGAGACTGCACGATGGGCTTGGACCCGAAGAAAGCGGCGTGCAGCGACGCTGTTGTTCGTTTTTTCGCGAACTTGCCTGCGAAAGACACCAACTCACATTAGCCAAGAAAAAAAGCAAAAATGGGGGAAAAAAAAAAAGTTTCTCGTTAGGTGTTTAGACAGTCTGATGTTAGGATCTGCCAGGGTATGGCGACATTGTTGCTCGCCGTAGATGTGAATACTACCCAGTGCGGCGTAACCGCCAGACTGTGGTCTTTAGCATGTGTCACACGCAGTAGTGATACACCACAGCGCGCCAGTGAGAATACTTGTCTAATTCGAAACGGGCATGGGTGGACTTTGAACCAAGTATTCCTAAAGCCCCTCTATCCTGGGAAAAGTGGCGCCATTCATTGTTGTGGAAATGCTCGAGACACGTGCCACGCGCCACTTTTGTGAAGAACATGGCGTCTGAAATCTAGCTCAGTGCTGCGCTGTGCCGCCATGATCTTCCCAAGGGCTGCACGGTCACACGTGTCTCGTGCATCGACGCACCTTGCGCTACTTTTGAAACATGAAGGGGCTTTAAGTATTCCTGGGTTCTGCAGCGCGAGCTTCTGCTCCACGTGCTCCGAGCTGCCGCGCAAAGCATCTTGGGAACCCATTGGTCACAGTTTCGGTTTTCATTTGCCAACCTCGCTTCCCGACATCCCGTCGCGATCAAATACAGTGCTTTCATTTTCGAATTCGTGACTTCATTTAAATTTATAATACTGTATACGTGTTTCTTGCCAATACGGATAGAATGCTGGGGCACGTTTTTCTGGGCTCCCGGCGTGCCAGAGTTTGTGCTCAGGTAGACCTAGGACTGTGATAAAATACAAAAGAAGACGTGGAACGGTGATCCTATCCCATCGTTTCCTCAATGTCGTAGGCTTCTTGAATAATCCATGAGCCGGGAGGGTTATGCTACATTCCGGAGTGGTGGCCAGGCCGCCAGAAAAGTATGGGACGTGGCCGGCCGTACTCCTCGAGTCCTCGCTACGTCTAGGCATGTCCTTACGGCCGCTGGAGGTTCGTGTTACAACGGGGGCTCTCGGGAAGATGAGTAGATGCGATGCAAGCGAGCGCCAACTTTGTTCTCGTGCAATGCTGAGATGTACTACTTCGTCAACGGGGCAATCGAAACCAAAACCTTGCTACTCCTCTCCATGACCAAATAGGTCCCATAATGCAACGTGAGCAGTGTTGTATGCAGGGATTTTTGAAAGTAGTCTATTCCCCGGGAAGGTGGAGAAGACGCGCACAAACTCAATGCAACAAATGTTCCGCAAGGAAAAAAAACAAACAAACAAAAAAACGGCGCATTACGTTTGGCAGCACGCTCTCTTTGTTAAGGGTGCAACCGCCACTGTTCCGACGCCCCATACAAGGTGAACGCTGCCGGACGAAGTTCGTCGCTAATTCGCACTATATTCGCTTCATGAAGTCCAGATATTACGCAATAACTGAGAATATCGTATCTTACTTTTTCTTCAGAAAACACAGAACACCAATCTTGTAACCTAAACAGTCAGTTTAGCAAGTCGTGAACTACGAGACGATTGAAGTTAAATGGTGTTCGGTTTCCGTCAAGTAAAAGGAAGGAATCATTTCTGAGGACTGACTTAGGTCAGGCGACTTCCGCCTTTTCCATTTGATTTAATTAATTTCGAGAGATTGGGCGCTCGTTATAGTATGTTCGTTGTTGTCGAATGCGGGGGTACGTTTGACGAACACAAAAGGAAAATTGCCAGCAATGTTTGCGCGTACAAAAGTGCGATACATATTAAAAAAAAAAGAAAGAAACAAGGCTTTTCGCAATCTAGAGCCGCTGTCGTACTGCAAATATATAATAGGAAAGACAGCCCGCAGACACTGTTTGAAGCGTTCTTTTTTTTTTCTGACTCTTTTGTTACATAGGTTATACACAAACTGTCTGCAAACATGTGCGAACAGATGTGTGTGAATCAGACATGTTTTGGACATCTTTGAGGCGTGTCTGCATTTACTTCTGCTTCCATCATGTCTACAGCTAGAAGCGCCTTTTGTGTGACGCATGAGCAGCCTGACTGCGTCTTTAGTGCTACTTTTTCTTAATAGCTGGCATTGATTTCTTCTCTTTTTTTTTCATACTTAAAACTGAAAAATTTACGAAAGACCCGAAAAGATCTGTTCTGGGTAATTTTATGTTCGGGAAACGGGTGGACACGACAGGAACTTCGCCGCGCACGAGGATGCATAGGGGACTGTCGAATCAATGTGATTAGATGATTCAATCAGCAAGCATGTAATGCGTAGATCGCCTCGCAGGCAAAATGGCTGTGTTGTCCCCGGTCCAGCAGCGATTTTGTGGCGTTCCGGCTGGGACTGTTCGATTGAGCGACACGTAATTAATGACATTAAGCAGTTCTTCGGGTAGTTCCAGGACAGCGCTGCCATGAGATAAGACGCCGTTCTTGCGTTCGGGCTAAGTTTGCTCAGCACGGTACATTGCTCTAAAAGAAAGGCTTATTAAAAGAAAAAAAAGAATGTGGTAAAGTTGTTTTAATTTCGCCCCTGTTATACTTGATAGGGCTCCCTAAGTTTTGACAATAGCTCCGCACGACTCACCATCATTGAGAAGGGTCCTCTCGGCGTCTTCAATTCCGCGGACGATGCTGAGACTGGCTCTGCCGGCGATGTCCAGGTCGTCCTTGCTGATCTTGGGGATGGACACCCTCCTCGCCGTCACCGTCACCGGGCGACTGAACTCCACTGCGTACAAAAGAAGGGCCAACTATTTTCGATCTAGGTTGGAGTTGTTTACGACGGTTTCTTCGAGGCAACGGACACGAGTACTTCTTTTCTATGGACCACGAACACAATGTCTTGTTCGTACTGTTTACGCAGAAAGTAAAGATCAGGCGAAATGGATGGTCAATAATTTGTATCATTAAAGTTGATGACGGAGCTTTCGATGTAAAAAAGAGAAAGAAACTTTTTTTGTGTGTGTGTATTTTTTTTTTCGAACTGACTGAACGTGTCTGTGTCTCGTTCCTATAGGAACGAGGAGCAGATACGCTCAGTCAGGCGAAAACCACCACCTGTAAGGTGTCTCGTTTAAATTCTCGGTTCATTTTGAAAGCTACCCCCTAGAAAGGTAGTTCATTACTAGGTCTATACAATATCCCCAAAGAACACGACATTTTTGATAAGCGACACTGCAATTTAGCTATCAGAATTGAAATGTGGGTCTATTTAACACGCACAACCGCGCTGTTGGTAGACACGGCTTTCAACCTGCACAAGCGCCAAATTTCTCGAAGCAATGAGCACGAAACGTAGACCAAAAACCTCGCTATATGAGCGACCTTGAGCTATCCTATTGTGCATCTTCTGTGAGACCACCGCAAAATCCTGAATCAACGCCCAACCACAACGAAGGAATAACAAAAATATTTTTTTATTCCTTCACCGTAACGATTTTTTTTTTGTTTTTTGTGGGGTGTTTGGGGGGGGGGGGGGGTGCTTTAAATTTTTTGGCATAAAGCTCAGAGGAAGAGAATTTAAATAGCCAATTTTATTCGTTAGTGAAGTTCCGCTTACGTGTTCCGGTCGCAGCTGGCGTGTTTAGCGGGCAGCAAACTTTGGTCGTGGCGCCGCACTTGGACAGCGCCAGGTCATCGATGGCGTTGAACTGGAATACGCAGTGGCTCAGGGGCTGGCAGATCCCGGGCTCGCCCGTTGACAGCGTGCAGTCGGACGCCGGCCTGTTGGCCGCGGGGGCTGCCGCCGGCGCAGCCTGCTGGCGCTGGCTTTGGCCCCGATTCCGGCCCTGGCCGCGACCTCGGCCGCCATTTCCTGGTCAAAAGGAAGACGCGTCCAGGTGTCATGGTCGCTGACAACTTGAGCAACGCGGGGCGGGGTGATTCCTGAGCATTTCATTTTCGCTCCTCAGCCTATAAGTTAGTCCATAGAAACGTCCAAGGACCTATCACGAAGCAGGAAGGGTGAGCATAATGTGACACACCATGCGTCCGTCTCTTAAGCTCTCAGTGACCATAAAAAAAAAAAAATGTGGTAAATTGCTGGGTGATTGTGTTGCACACGCGAAACGTTCTAAAATCAACATCAAGTCTCGTGACGTCAATTCTTCCGATAAATTTAGCGGGGAAACTGAATTGGTCTGTATGTCACGGGACGTTAGTTTTGCCACTAAATTTAGCGGGGAAATTGACGCCACTGATGCCTCGTAAAGTAAGCACCGATTCAACTTCCCCGCTAAATTTAGCAGAAAGAGTGAATTGGTGTCTAGGTTGGTGACGTTCCATAATGCAACTCTGCGCGCGTTGAATTATGTGACGTCACAGGCCTTCACTAAATCCGGAAAAACTAACCGAAAAACGTTTCGTGGTATATATATATATATATATACATATATATGAACACATTTAGAAGTTGAATACGGTGTATACTCTACCTCACGAACGTATGCAGTAAACAGAAAGGCGCAAGCATGTGAGCCTTGCTCAGAAGAATGCTTTTGTTTGTACGAGAACTCGTGCATATGAGGCGCTTTGCAAAGCCACGCGCTTGTGCCCGGGCTTTTGTTTACATTGCAAGGTTGGTGAGATGGAGTAAAGTAGCTGCCAAGGTTATTAGGTTACCTCAGTTGTGGAAGTCTTGCGAAGGGGGGGGGGGGGGTACCCCCTCGCTCCCTTCAGTCTGTCTCCCACCGTTTGAAGCGCCATCTAGATTTTCCTTTCAAAACTTTGTTTCACAGAGTACGGTGAAACGAGATCTATAGACTATGCGCTTCAATGCATAAGTATTCTTTTAGTCCCTCTCTTTCAATGCGAAAGCATTAACCGTCTCATAGAGCGAGCCGACGTCATCAGCAGGGTCTCGTTATCTTTTTGATTACTTATCAGGGTTTATTTTGTGTGGTCCTAGCTTGGTGACAGTCGGGTGCAAGAGACCTAGTGGACATCGAATCTTTTTTCAGTGTCCGAGACTGCGCTAAAAAAGCAAAACTTTTAGTTGAAGGAAAAGACACAGAAGGAGGGACGTTTCAAACTCAGCTACTTTCTTTGCTTCCACGAATCTTAATGCGCCCAGAAATTTAAGGCCAACTACAGTCATTACTGAGCTTCCAGAGAGACATACACTTACAATAAAAGAACAGGTTACCAGACATCGAACGCACTCTTGTATCCCGAACATTGGGCATTTAAACGATACACAAGAATTAACCCTCATTCCTTCTGCCCTTGTCCCCCCCCCCCCCCCCCCCCCTCCCCCCACTTCAAACTGAACAATGAATTCAAGCTTCACGAAGAAAGACTTGTAGTTTTCAAGACCTTCCTAAAGCCCTACCCTCTTCTTCACTTACTCGTCTTGCGGACAGCAACATCGAGAAGCAACTGTTGTTAAGTTCGCACAAGGAACTTTGTTAGATTGAAGTGTGTGATGTTATGTAAAACGCTTGTGCAATATGGGTTACCGTAACAGTGCATTTGGCTCGTCTGAATTGCCTACCACAAACGTGAATATGGTTAAAAACTGAGATTTCGAAGGTGAACATATCAACAAATGAAACTCTGCTTCCGCTTGTTTTCTTCTCCTGGTGCTACTTCATCACGGGTTTCAAATTCGTACGTTGCCATTTGATGGGATAAATTAAAAAAAGAAAGAAAACTTTGCTCGATATAACTAAATATGGTAATCAGCAAAACACAAATATAACGTATATGTAACGATACGTTCCATTTTTTTAACTGTAACGGGGACGAGTTCTTTTTTAACATATGCAACTTCTAACGGGAACGCGTTCTAAAAATCAGAAGGAACGAGGAACGAACTTTCGTTCCCCCCTTCTTTTGAGGAACGTGTACGTACAACCCTAATACAAGGACAACTAGCTTTACGTCTACCCACTAATCCTTCCAATCAGAGCTCGGCGTTCTGACGTCCCCTCTTGTCTCCTCCTCTCTCTCAGTTTCTGTCTTCATCAGTTGCATTGCTCGTGTCCAGTCTATCTATCGGATTATATCGATTTATGTACATTCTGCTCATCACTTCGCGCTGTCTCCCAATTTTTTAGTAGCCTTCTTCTCCCTGTTTAACAGACTGGTGTAAAGCAAGTTTGGTGGAGGTAAAGAGGAGGATGTTCACAGGCTTTGTCTATTCTACTTGGTGTTGGCCGTGGGAGGCCTTATGAGCATGCGCAATGGCTCCCTTCCGCTGAGTATCAGATGCCGCGCATACGCCCACAATCTCAGTGACGCGAAATTTTTCGCCCGGGAGATTAGCGCCGAAAAATGCGTGTGGAACCGAAAATAACGGCGACTCACCTCTTCGCTGTGCCTGACCGATGCTGACCAGGAGCAGGAAGCAGGCCAGAGCAGCGGCCACGTTCCAGTAGGAGAGCCGCATTCTTCAACCTGCACCAGGAGGGAAGGCGCCCACTGAGCTGCTGCGATCCCTCGCGGTGCTAGAGTACCAGCGACCGACCACAGACTGCGCCGGCAGTGCCGGCGGCGATAGGAAACACCGACTTCCGTCGGCCGTTGGAAGTCGCGCATCCTCGGAGGACACGCGGTGTACGATAAGCACGTCTTCCTGATCAACCCTGTCTCCGCTCGAACAGGCCGACTGACTGTAGAAGCTGGAGCTTTGTCTCGGAGAGATAGGTCCCCGAGCTTCCGCGAGAAGCCTTCACAAAGTTCCCGGCTGTGACCTTGGATCTCGGCTGATGACTAGCAAGGGCTGCCCTCGCTCGTACCTTTGACCCGTGGTCACACCCGCTATCATCCAAAGGACAGTCTGCAGACACTGCCTGAGGTCTTCCTCGTATGACGGTCACCGTGGTCCTACAAAACCGCCTGCAGACATGTTCGAAGCTAACAAATGTGCAAATCAAGCATGCTTCCAACATACTTGATGTGTGACTGCAAATAATTCTGTGATTGTGCCTACAACGAACAGCTTCTCTTTTGAATGAAGTAGGAGCAGTGTGATGGAGGCTTAAAGGGATTGTGATCCAAATATTTCAGTGTCTATAATAAGCGACGCACAATCTTTTTTAATGAGTGAGCAATTCCTGGTGGGCACGAGGCCACGTGATACCGGCGGCTGCTGACTCATGGAAAGATAGTGCGTCGCTTATCTTAGACAGTGAAATGTTCGGTTCACCATCCCTTTAATGACTTGTTCACACATGCAGCACAGCGCTATAGCTCAACGCTATACACGCTACATCAATGCTCTATCAGCGCTCAGCTGCATGCACGAAACTCATCATTTTCCTGTTCACGCCATTAGCGATGACGTGAAGCTAATTTAGCGCCATCTCAGCGCTGGAATACATCAGTGAACCGGCCTTAGGAGTTGGTTTTTGATTGTAGCATTAAAAACAAAACAAGAAAAAAACATTTCGAAGTTTGCCTAAAAGCAGGACTATGTCGTAATGGTCTCGAGAACAGTCAATTGTCTATACCACAGCCTCCTCTATATTGAAAAAGCCCGGCAGATCGCCGTGAGACGTGGCCGCCGAAAATGAAAAGGTAGAGCGGCAGACAGCGGATGAGAGGGGAGGCATGTAACGGGCGCCCCGCTGCGGCGAGACGCCGAAACCCACTTGTCCCGAGCGATGGAATGTCTGCTCGTGCTCCTTGCGTTCCTGGCGCTACCGCTTCTTTTCTCGTCTGGTTTGAAAACCATGTTTTCGGTACTCTTCAGAGTAAAAGCTGTGCGCGGACTACAGGCCCCCAAAGAAACGCTCTGTGCTACCAGATCCTCGCGCTCCAAATCTGCGACCGGGCAATCTATGGCTCCATAGTCGAACTGCAAGGCTTTGTGAGTATAGAGGGCTATAGCTATACGTCTACGGCTTCTGTAGCAAAAGCAGACACATAAAAAGCAGGACCTTGCTGCTGCGTGCGTACCTTCTGCAACGTATATTTCGCGCCGCTTTATTGTGTTGATTTTTTTTGATTGGCAAGAGCAAGTAGGAATGCCCATTGGTGCGGAGCAATGACGTAATGTGCAAGTCATGTAACACTTGACCTCCCCATGGAGGCATATTGGGTGAAGTGCAGTGTGCGACCCCCCCCCCCCCAACCCCCCTAAAAAAAAACAAAAAAAAACAGGGATTATAGTTGATGACAGGCTAAGCATAAGGCAGAAGCGCTCTCGTTGATTTCCATAATGCTCTGGCTGGACCTGCGCCGAATTGTTATCAAGGGACGATATATAGCGCTGGAAAAGGCGATTCTACTGTATTCTTGACCTGTCACCCACTATAGTTTCCGACCAGCTGTGGCTTACACACTCTCAAGAAAAAAGGGTGTAAAAGGGTGTATCGCTACATCCTTTGTCCCATATAATGCATCCCAAAGCTTCAATTCGACGTACGCGCCCTACAGTCGAACAGACGGCCCCAAATTCTACGAGGGGCTTGATAGACGTGGTGGTACAATTTATTAAAGTAGCTAATGTACGGTTTACTGATTAAAAAAAAAGTAATCAGAGTTTTCTTGGCCCTACTGTAAAAACTCGGTGTTTTATTTATGTAGTCTTTGATACCTACCTTAGCTATTGAAGGAGTTATATCACACCGTTATCAAGCCCCTCGTAAAATTTGGGGCCGTCTGCTCGACTATAGGGCGCTGTACGTCGAAATGAAGTTTTGGGGTGTATTATATGAGACAAGGGGTGTAACGATACACCCCTTTACACCCTTTTTTTTTGAGAGTGCATAAGCTATCCTAGAACACACTTCTGACTGTTCGTTCTAAATTTAAGGTCAGCACCAACTAGGGCTGGGCAATTGATCGATTAACTACCCATTAATCGATCAATGCTTTAATCGCGATTAATTTTTTAACCGGTTAATCGGTAAAATTTTGACGAACCAAAACAAAGTAAACATTAAACGCTTTCACCACGCAGACATGGAAGAGTACACCTGTGAGAAGCGCAAACTTTAGGTAAAATTTAGGTAAAAAGAGGCGAGATTTGTAACTCCAGACAAACGCAGAAGGTTTCACGTGTTCCGGGCACTTCAATGACCTGAGAGTTTCCGTTTGGCGCAGTACAGACTATTGTGAACAATCACAGGAGATCGCCCTTCCGCTGCCTCATGCAGGCAATTAACAATCTGTGAGTGTGTTATCTGTTCTCAACTACGCATCGAGATTGATTCATATTCGAAATTCTATAGTGCACCGTTTATCGCATATTCAGCAGAAGTTTTTCTTTTATTTTTTTAGAATTATTATGCATGGAAGTAAATAGACCAGTTAATCGAATAATTAGTCGATTAAGACGTGGTGATTAATCGGGTTAAATTTTTTAATCGACGCCCAGCCCTAGCAACAACGTTTCTCTATAGTTATTTACATTAGCTAAATTAATTCCTGCCGTTGTTCGCTCATGGCCAATTTCTTCATCCCTCTCACGCGAAACTTTGTCAAGCTTCTGCTTCGGCACTGACTCACAAATGCACTAAAACTGAATACGATATATGTAATCTTCAAGACAAGTGTAAAACTTTACTTGTTAACTCGACTTTCATGTTATCAATCAATGTGTCTTTAACCGAGTGATGAGTTTTCTCGTGTAGCCAGGTGGTTGGGTACTTCGTACTTCAAATCAAAGAATACATTGATACCACAGTCAGTTTCATTACGCCACCACTGCCGCCATGCATCGTGGGAACTGTAGCTCTTCAGCACGCGCGACAACCCTGCTGAGAGAGCAGAGCTTGAGGCGGCACGAGCTGTCTCGTGAAGTGGCGCCTGCCCCCTATGAACTAGAGTTATGGCGGCGTCACGCATGCGTGGAACGCTTAGTGATATCGGTCTAATGATAAGATGTAGTATGTATGCTCTGCCATTATAAAATGTTTGCATCGTCAGTAATACTTTGAACTGTATGTACCCTCTGGTGTCAAAGGAGCAATCGTTATCATGGTGAGAATTGAGATTAACTATCTTACTGCAGAAACCGTTTGAACCCGGGCAATCTGATTCCTGGGGGTATTTTTATGTTGTTTTTTTTTAGAGGACAATAAATTTTAGTTCTTGACATTACAATGTGTACCGTCCTTTAACCTGATGAGTTTTAGCTATTCTGGGCAGCGGATGTAAAAAGACGCACAGAACGTTTCACATTCGCCTTACGTGCAAAACCGCACATAGTAATCAGTTTGCTTAAAGTTGGACATAAACGAATAACAGCTTATTTTGCACATATAGTAGTCCTGCTATTCAATAAAACTAGACTGAAGACATTGCGAACTCGCTTTAGAAGCGTAAATGATTGACACCTCATTCGGCAGTATGCGCACAAGAAACACAGGAGACTTGCAAATCATGATTGGATTGATAAAGCTTGAAAGGTTTTTTAGCACCTGCGCCTTTATTGAAGTGTCGCATACATCGTTCCTATAGAAGCTGGAATTTGCCGTAAAAGCTTCGACGTAAGCTTGTCACCCTCGTCCCTTTTGTGTTGGGACTACAGTGTGTATCATCGCGCGAGTGAGATGCAGGACGAAGCAAAAAGTGCTATTGGGAGAATTTAAGTGTGTTTAGACAAGTTGTTGTTGCTCTTTTATTACTCACCCATCAGCATTTCTTACACTATGGTGTTGAACACCGGGAAGAAAACTTAAGTAAAGAAAGTTGTCGAAACCTGACTGGAAATGGTCACCGTATCTTCAGCTATCAACTCTCAAGTATCGCCGCTCTAGAGACCTATCAAACGCGTGTCCTTGACGAATCTTATGTTGAACGCCTCGCCCAAGAACGAGTGAATCTGAGTAATCAGATAATAAAGCTTAATTTTATCCGGACTACTTTGATCGTAATGCAAAAGAACGTGCGTTATCTAGAACGCTACCTTAGTTCCCGATAAACATATTTGCGCCCAGGTCCTAGCACCCCTTTGCAATAATTATGGCTTTGGCGTCCCAAACCATAACGCTAAAATGTCAGGCGTGCATGGGTGGTCAATACTATCATAGTATACACGCATCATTGATGAAAAGTGGACGAAGGTTTTGTCAGTGACCGCCCACTCCGTAACTCGACACTCATAACCAAAATATTCACTTTACAGTTATGTCTTGTTCATACGAAACCCGTTAAGGTGATACACCCCTATAAAGATAACATTTTAAGAAGGCGAGTTGCGTAAATACATCAATTTTTTTTCATTAATAATGTTTTGTTTAGCTCTTTTGGGGGGAGGGGGTGGGGGAGGCGTCCATATTAGCCAGACATCACGGCTTAAATTTCAGTATTGAGCAAATATTTGATTTATCACGAATGGCACGTCAGCATTTTTGTTTTTATAACTTTTTTCCTGTCTAATAAATAAATATTTTAAATAATTCCTCACGCGCTCTAAGATGCTGAAATCCGATCCTCCTCCTTGCTTC